GGTTACTCGGTGAATTCCTTGAAAATAATGACATGATTCGGATGATTTAGTTAACAAGTATCATGATGCACGGCAATGGCTACGGCTCGCATAAATTACGCATGCATGAACATAAAATCTCATTTTAATAAACATGTTAACACTCTCGGTTTAGAAGTCGACGGGACTTACCTCTTATAATGACTCAAGAGATTGAATGACTTGAAGTCGCTCTCGGCCGTGAAGACTCCGCGTGCGGTGCGTGTGCGACTTGCTGCTCGCGTACGGGTGATGATGCTTGCGCACGGTGGCGACGGCTAGGACGCACAAAGGCTCGCGGTAACTACTAGCCGAGCTAGTACTATAGGCTAAAATGATATGCTGAAATATTCTAAGTGTTGGAGAAAAATGCTCTCGGCCTTGAAGTGAAAAGGAGCAAAAATGCATAAAATCTCCCAAGTCCTTACTTAAACCGAATGTGGGCGGATAAAATGAGGAGAAACCATGGCTAGTGCTCACGTGAGGGCCAAGACAAAGATGCTCGGCCGAACATGTGTATAAAAGGGACAAACGCACGCACGGATACTTAGCACATGAGGACAAAATGGGCGCACACTCTCTCACGGCCTTGGAACAATGCGCACACTACACGCCAAGGGAGTCGCACGGAGTTTTAGCTTGACATGCATGGTCTTGGACAATCCGCCCGGCGCTAGGGAAAAGGACATAAAGTGCACGGCATTCATGGCGCAAGAGTCCAAAAAGGGACGCACGGATACTCATGCGAAGCTGTTGGCGCGGATACTTGCGGACGTTGGCCGGATGCGCACCTCGGATGCTCCGCCCTCATAAATTGCGCGACGCGCATGGACGCGTGAATGGCGCACGGGTACTCGGCTACACACGCGCACGGCGTTCGCTCGCGAACGTGATCCGAACACTCGCACGGCACTTGAACATGAATTCGGAATAAAATCCGAACCATTTGCTAATCTCGTGATTAAATTAAATTAATCACTTAATTATGTTTAAGTATCTAATTAAACATAATGCTAAATTACCAAAATTATTTCGAACGTAAACGGTACGTTGAAAATAGTTCCGGTAATTTCGACTGAAATAACTGAAATTAATTAACTCCGAAAAATAATATCGGAACTGAAATATTATTATACTGATAAAAGTCGGGATATTACAGTATCCTAGCCTATGTTGTTTTATTGTTCTTAATAGCACATACTTGCCACCACCAAGATTTGAAGTTTAAGCCTTGCAAATCAATTCCTTTCCAAGAGACTGGAGCCATCTTCCAAACATTTCTGGTTTTTTGACAATGTAGCAACAAGTGTTCAATAGTTTCCTCATTATCTCCACACACTAGGCAAATAGCATCAACTGCAACACCTCTAATCAGTAGATTCACCCCAACTGGTAGAATTCCATTACAACACTTCCATATTAAGTGCTTGATTCTACCTCTAACCTTCAATTTCCAGCTTCTCTCCCTCACCATCTTATCCTTTCCCCTTGGGCTAGTACTCTCAGCAATATCTAGGATTTTCACCTTCTCTGCTATCAAGTGAGAATAGGAGTCTGCCACTTGGAAATCCCCTTTTTTGTTCAAACCCCAAACCCATCTATAATCTTTGTCAGCAGCCATGGTTTTGATATTAAGAATTGCAACACTATCTTGATGAGAGAAAAGATACTTCATCAGCTCTTCATTCTACTTTCTACTAGAACTCTCCAAAAGCTCCCAGACCCAAGTAGGCTTTGTTGGAACCCACGAGGATCTCGATATGCACAAATCACGGACAAACATTCAACATA